ATACATTGTCTGGATCATCCCTCGAAAGACGATTTATACTGCGAGCTGTCAATCAACATTGCCGTTATTATTAAGGAGCCCGATATTTGATTTTTTTTTGTGTGTACTTCAGGGGATATGACAACATCACGTCTACCTATTATATGGGAAAAATACGGAGTTTGACAGTCCTGTGACAGCGAAGTGCTGCCCAAAACAAATGACTATCTGCCATTTCAGGTAGTTTTAATTAAGCAGTTTCTTAAACGGCCTCGTTTCGTTATCTTAAATATCGGTACCACTCGGGCAAAATCGTTACCACTTAAGTAACGAGTTCATCACTATGCGCTCATCCAACACTTATCCTCCTTGGTTCTTTTCCAAAAGCATTCTATCGTAATTTGTGATCATACGACTTTTCTCCCTCACAAAGTTGATTGAAGGCCATACACATCGTAAACATAAGGCTCGTGCTCACCAAGGCGACAAGATGCAAGTGAAAAAATTTGACCAATCACTAGCCTCACCGCGGTCGCCTGAAACCGGTTTGCAGTTCGCCGATTGGAGTTGCCCAACTTTCAACTCGAAGCGGTTTTTCACTAGGCGTAATGCTATTTCTGACGTTTCGCTGTGAAGGGGTCGAAAAAATTTTGTCGCTTGCTTCTTGAATCTTCACGTCTCCGCCTTGGTGGGAACGAGCCTATAGTGTATGAGTACTAAACCTGTTTTACCACTCATACATCGTGTTTGAGTGGTTAGACAGGTTTGTTGCATAGTGAAAGTAACAAAACAGTGCAAGTATGATATGTACTTTAAATCGATAAGTGTTAACAATTAATTTCTTCCTTCTAAGTTTTGTGATTCGATTATAGAGGGTGGTCTAACCGACATGGGTCGGTCCTTTTTTAAATTTTTATGCCACTTAAAAACAGAATTTAAATTCCATATCAAACTGTTGTATAAAAGAATGTCAAAAGTCTCAAATGTAAGAAATACTGAAAAGACTATCCTAATATTTTTATCAGCATGTATATTTCGTATCTTCAAGATTTTCTAAACTAAAATTCAACATTGTATAAGATGTCTTTCTATATTTCAAAGTAAGATTTATTCCGAGAAACCGAAATAATATTCATATTTTATTTTCAGCGATTTTCTGTAACGTAACTCAATTTTTTAAAATTTTATTTATTCAGAGAGATCTCTATGTAAAGATAAAAGGAATTTTATAAATTGATGTTTGATATTTTATTTTAGCTTACAAATATTATTATCAAAGTTTTCAAGAAGCAAAAAAACAATATAAAAATAACTCTAGCATATGTTGGAAGTTTTCTAAATGTCAGAAAAAATACACAAATAAAAGCTTTTAATAATTCTTCATCTTTACTTTTATTATTAACATTTACGATTAAAATTCACTAAACTAAAGAATCTTGCTTCATCTTTTGGGTAGTTATCTAATTTCTGCATAACATTTGTTCATCAAGCTATAATTGTTCATAAAAATATCTGAATTTAGATTTTTAAGTAAATTGTTTTGAAATAAATTGTCTCTTTTTTTTGTTTAAAAAGTATTTATTAAAGGCAAAATTATATAAATAACAGCAAAACCTGAGTTCCCATTAAACCATAGGTAACAACAGCAAATATATTTTATGGTTGATTAATCTTGTTCACTCTATAAAGTAAGAGTTAGATAATTTTAGGACCTTGGATTCGAACCCCACGTTGGGAGGACCTTAAAATTTAAAATTTTTTATATTTTAAATATTTATTTACATAATGCAACTGTCATGTATAGTTTTTCTGTTACAAGTTATGAAAGTTTAATAATGAAAAGATATATAAGTAAAAAAATTGCATATAAAAGTTTAAGATATATGCTAAGTTTCATTTAAATCTTTTATATCGGAAAATGCTTTTCCAGTATGCATAATAATCCATTAATGAGTTAACATATCTGATATCAGTATTCATAACGAGTTTTAATAAAGTTAAAGTTAGTTTAAAATACAATTTGTGCATTAAGTATTTATTCGCTGACAAATGGTCCTCGGGTTGTAACATTCCGATGCCTAAATCCTTAGTGTAATGACAGTCTATTTTTTTTTCAAAATTGCAAATAAAGATTAAGATATTTGTGCTACTTTTTCAATTCCTTCTATTAGCTCACACTCTCTGTACATATATCTTGTTCAAATTTTCAATCGTTCATAAAATACTTTTTATGAACGATTTTTTCATCCACTCAAGTTCATGTAAATTTTTTTTTGAACTTGTAGCGGATGACACTGGGTGTTAGTACATTTTTTTCAAATATTAATTCATTAGTTTTAGTTTTTTTTTTAGATTTAAGTTGCATATATCTACCAATAGATGGCGACAGATGAACTTAAAAAAATGAATGAAAATTATTTATAAAGAACTTTCTGCAATAGAGGGGGAAAAAAAAGTAGGAACTTTAAATTTTTTTTTTTTATATTACTTGTTTTATTGTATAACTTGAACATTATAAAACAAATAATGATGCCAATTTTGAGACATTATATCTTAATCAGACTTTTTACTATGTTATTAATTAACTTTGTCCAAAGGAGTATTCCCAGTAGCATAATATAAATAGTAATAATTAATTCCTTTTAGTTTGAAATAATTTTTCTTGACTTGAAATAGTTGAACAGACTTGAAATAATTTTTTCACTTACATATTTGTCGATATGAAATGATTCATATGTATACTGTGAATGAAAACACTTGATGTAGTGTTTATTATCATCTATTATTTCAATCCCGATAAAACATTTTCCTGATTTTAAATAATGATAACAACGTGGAAACGGGCAGGTGTTAATTTATTTTTCGTTTTAATATACTTCCCCTAAGAGAAAGGTTACAAGCCCGTCTAGCTCCGTCGGTAGAGCACGAGACTCTTAATCTCGGGGTCGTGGGTTCGAGCCCCACGTTGGGCGGAAGTTTTTTTAAAAAACTTTTAGTACTTTTTTTTACGTTTTAAATTTTTCTTTTTGTTAGTTACAATCAAGATAGATAATCTGACCATCGACTAACTTAAATTATTTCTTTGAAATCTTTTACATACATCTTTTACTTTTATACACAACTTTTTACTTATTTTTTTATTCCGATATTAATTTTTATAATTTGCTATAAAAAACTATATATTCATATATACATTCTAACCAAAAAAAGAAAAAAAAATTGAAATACCATATACCCGTGAAATTTGAATTGAAAATTGGTCTTACTTTTTTGGACACATTAGTATATATATATTAAAATCTTTTTCACTTAAATTTGCTCACACTCTCGCTATATATATTCGATCGTTCATAAAATACTTTTTATTCATCCATTTTTTTAAACTTGTAGTGGATGACACTGGATGTTAATACAGTTTTTTCAAATATTAATTCATTAATTAAATTTAATTCATTAATTTTAGCTTTGTTTAGATTTAAGTTGCATGTATCTACCAATAGATGACGCCAGATAAACTTAAAAAAAATGAATGAAAATTATTTATAAAGAACTTTCTGCAATAGAGTGAAAAAAAAAGTAGGAATTGACTTTAATATATTACTTTTTTATATTGTCCGATAGCTCGTGGTCTTAACACGTCTTTGCAATCTCTAGTTTAAACTATACATCTTCGTATGTGCTTAGCAACGTGCAAAAAAATTTAAAACACATTGTACTCATTATCAGTTTTTAATTATTTTAATTTCTTCGTAAAGGCTAACGGGTAAAAAAGTAAGAGATTTTTTTTTATTTGCACTAACCGAAAACGCTGGTCTTTCATTAGCCGGGCGGTTTTGTTATTCTTTTGAACGTCGTACGTGCTCGGAATTTCTGAAGAAAGCTCAACCCTCGAGCACTTGGAGGATTTATTAAATTTCTAAAAATAGCAACACTCGAGTTTGCTCTTTCTCTTTTGTTCCCCCCTTCATCTTCGACAGATACCGCCTCTAATTATTTTTCGAATAAATTTATGAACCATCAAAGTTTATCACCAGTTTATAAATTATTGTTTAATAAACAATTTATCTCCCAACACCTGCTACGAAGAAAACTGCGTGCCATGCCAAAGAAGTCGATTAACTATGCAGAATGTTTCAGAAAAAAAAAAACGATTTTATTTGCCCTCGAAAATCGTTTGGCGCATCATTTATCGAATAGATTTCGATATTTTTAAGATTGGGAAAATGTTTTTTCAAAGATTGATTTAATTCCGTCTGTAATTTTTCATGAGTTTTCTCTTTGATGTTTGTCTAATTCGAAATCAATTCTGTTATCGTTGGCAGATTTTAGTCAAGATTTTTAAAACTGTTTTGTTTAGAAATATGTTAATCATTCCGTTCTATGCTCTGAATATTTCGTTTTGTGGTATGATAAAAAAGTGAAAACTCACAGATATAGTTTTTTTCAATTCCTTCTATTAGCTAACACTCTCACTATATATATCTTGTTCAAATTTTCAATCGTTCATAAAATCCTTTTTATTCATCCAATCTAATTCAAATACATTTTTTTGAACTTGTAGTGGAGGACACTGGATGTGAATACAGTCTTTTCAAATATTAATTAATTCATTAAATTTAATTAATTAATGTTAGTTTTTTTTAGATTTAAGTTGCATAGATCTACCAATAGATGGCGCCAGATAAACTTAAATAATGAATGAAAATTATTTTGAAAAAAAAAGGACTTTCTGCAACATAGTGAAAAGAAGTAGGAATTGAGGTTAAAAAATTTTTTTTTAATATTACTTATTTATCAGGCAGCAGCATGTATGTTTTTTAGATATGAAGATATCAGATATGAAAGATTTTATTTAAAGTTAACATATATCTTTTGCATTTATATACATCATTTTACTTATTTTTACATTCCTATACTAATTTTATAACTTACAATAAACAAAACTATATATTGCAATTGCAAGATATATAAAAAAAAGGAAAAAAAAAAAAAGCTTTAAAAAAATTAAATAAATATCAAAACGCCTAACGTAGAGCTCAAACCCACAGCCAGATTCTTAAAGTCTGGTGCTCTACCGATTAAGATAGTTTGGCCCTGCCACATATTCTATGTGTTTAATATCTTAATGCAGAAAAAAACTATTGCTGAGAGTTTTCACGTTTTTATCATACCACAAAATAAAATGCTCAGAAAATAGGACGGAACGATTAAAATATTTTTAAACCAAATTTATAAACAATCAACCAAATTTCAAACTGTTTTTAAAATGTTCTTAACGAAAATCTGCCAATGACAATAGAATTGATTTTGAATTAGAAAAACATAAAGAGAACTCATGAAAAATTACAGATAGAATTAAAAATCAATCTTTGAAAGAATATTTTTCCAGTCTTAAAAATCGTTTGGTGACCAAACGATTCTCTTAGTCGGCGAGGATAAATAAAAATCGTTTTTTCCTGAAACATCCTGCATCGTTAATCGACTTCTTTTGCATTACACGCAGTTTTCTTCGGCGCAGGTGCTGAGAGATAAATTGTTTATTAAACAATAATTTATATACTGTTGATAAACTGTGATGGTTAATAAATTTATTCGAAAAATAATTAGAGGCGGTATCTGTCGAAGATGAATACAAAAGAGAATATGAGATATGAATAAGAGACATTCCTATTCTAATTTTTATACGTTACGGTATATATATATATATATATATATATATATATATATATATTGCAATTTCAAGATATAAAAAAAGAAACAAAAAGCTTTCGAAAATTAAGGCAATATCGAAATGCCCAACGTAGGGCTCAAGCCCACTACCCCGATTTGTAAAGTCCCGTGCTCTACCGACTAAGATAGTCGACCCAACCATGTATACTGTGTATAATATATTACGCAGGAAAAAATTATACCTGTGAGTTTTCACTTTTTTTTTATCATACCCCAAAACGAAATGCTGAGAAAATAGGACGGAACGCGGGCCTTATTGGCCGAGCGGCTAGCGTTTTGGCGCTCGGTACCACAGGTTTCGGGCTCGAGTCCCGACAGTCTCATCTATGTTTGTAGTGGTTCGGAATCCACTTTAAACGGTAGGTCTCGGTCCTAACAGGACCGTAGAGAGTTGCGGGGGTGTTGTTACTCCGCGTCCGTAGCTTATCTTCGAGCTACACGCACCTTCTAGGTAGTTCTGAGTGAGTAACGTCAGTGCAGCGCAGGCCATAAGGCATCAACGAGAACTGTCTAAGTGTTTTCCAGTTACATCACAAAAAAAAAAAAAAAAAAAGGACTGAATGATTAAAATATGTTGTTGATTAAAATAAACAAAACTGTTTTAAAAATGTTCTTAACCTAAATTTGCCAACGACAACAGAATTGATTTCGAATTAGATAAACGTCAAAGAGAGAACTCATGATGAAAAATTACAGACGGAAATAAATCAATCTTTGAAAAACATTTTCCCAGTCTTAAAAATATCGAAATTTATTCGATAAATGATGCGCCAAGCGATTTTCTTACTCGGCCAGGGCAAATAAAATCGTTTTCTCTGAAAGATTCTGCATCGTTAATCGACTTCTTTTGCATTGCACGCAGTTTTCTTCGGAGCTGGTGTTTGGGAGATAAATTGTTTATTAAACAATAATTTATAAACTGGTGATAAACTTTGATGTTCATAAATTTATTCGAAAAATAATTAGCGGCGGTATCTGTCGAAGATGAAGGGGGGGGGAACAAAGAGAAAGAGCAAACTCGAGTGTTGCTATTTTTAGAAGTTTAATAAATCCTCCAAGTGCTCGAGGGTTGAGCTTTCTTCAGAAATTCCGAGCACGTTCGACGTTCGAAAGAATAACAAAACAGCCCGGCTAATGAAAGACCAGCGTTTTCGACTAGTGCAAATAAAAAACTCTTTTTTTTTTTTTTTTTACCCGTTAGGCTTTACGACGAAATTAAAATAATTAAAAACTAATAATGAGTACAACGTCTTTTAAATTTTTTTACAAAGATATATGTTTAAGCTAAGACTTGTTAAGACCACGAGTTATCCGGCTACACAATATTTTAACACACGCACACACACACACACACACACACACACCACGTTATACGAATACACACATAATATTGAAACCATGGTTATACTAATATTGTAACTATGGTTACAATATGCAGGTACCCATAGCTACAATTTGATGTTATAAGCAGAGTGAGATGTAATCAATAATGTTTTTTTCTTATTTTTTATTGGTGGCTTTAATCCCTTTCTATAACTGATTTTAATTCTTTTATTTTAAATATTTTAACTCAAATAAAATCAAAAGTCATATAATATTCCTGAAGAGAATAGATATTAATGATGAATGTTGCACGTCTTTCCAAAAGCTTTTTTTGTACGTTTTTAGTAGAATAATCGATAGATTATTATAAATGAATACAGAATAGGAGATACAGATAATTTTACTTTCTGTATAATAATCAATAGAATATTGTAAAGGAAGATAAATTAAAGAGAAAGATTTGAATAAAAAGATTATTCTAAAACCTTGTAACAAACTAAATATTGATGAAAAGTGTAAAATGAGGACATGCAGAAACAGTAAATTTTTTTTTTCTTATTGCACAATTAGATAAAACGAAATATTTTCACGATATATTTAGGATTAAAATAAAGGCAATTTTTTTTTTTTTAAAATATAGAAACCCCATTCTTTGACCAGCAATCAAAATAAAGTAGAAGCACTCGCTTATTTCCAATTATAGAATAGATTTCAGAAATCTTTACTAAAAGCTTTATCTGTATCTTCCTTTACAATAATCTATTCTAAATTAAAAAAGATTATTCTAAAATCTTATAACAAACTAAAAACTGATGAAAAGTGTAAAATGAGGCCATTCAGTTAACAGTGAACAGTAAATTTACTGTGCAATTACATAAAACAAAATATTTTCGCAATACATTTGGGATTAACACAAAAGAAAAACTGCAATTTTTTGTTCAGAAATATAAAAACCACTTTCTTTGACCGGTGATCAAAATAAGTAGAAGCAATCACTTACTTCCAGTTATAAAAATGGATTTCATTTATTTTGGGAACTTTTTCTTAAAGTATCCCATGAAACTCAATGACATATGATGTTGCCAAAAAAAGTTTGAAAAATAAAGAACATTTATATGTTGATATATGAAGACGATTTAAGAAAAAAAAAAATGGCATTGTTGAAGTTCAAGTTAGAAATTTTAAATATTTATGAGTTGAAGAATGGAAATCAAACTATGATGATTGATTTTCATAGAATATGATTGAGGATCAGGATAGTTTAGGAATAAAACTATTGAGTTTATAAATCGCATCGGAATAAATTCATTTGTGACAATGCAAAGAACGAAAATAGGATTTTAAATAAATAAATAATTTATCAATGGAATTTAATTTATCGAATGCATTATATAATAATCAATGTGATTTTCTGAAAAATAGAAATCATGCTGTCATGCTGAAATCAAAATAATAATATAGATCTAAAAACCAAAACAATAATGTAGATTTAAAAACCAAAACAATAATGTAGATCTAAAAACCAAAATAATAACATAGATCTGAAAAACAAAATAATAATATAGATCTAAAAATTAAAATAATAATATAGATCTAATATACAAAATAATAATGTATGATCCACTATGCATTCCCACAACAAATAAATTTTTCCAAAATTTTAAAAACAATATACAAGTATTACAATTTAAATATGTTAATGAGATGAATGAAATTGCGATTTCATTTTTAAAATTTTCTTCTGTTGAGGTTCGAAGTGAGATGTTTTGATTCTAAGGAATGAGGCTCATCTGTCAGTCTACTTCTGAAATAATTCTTTCTAAAGTTTATAGTTGAAAACCCTATTTGTGAAACTCTAACTTTGGCATATTTAGAAACAACTGCTTGAGATGATTGTTAGATTGCAACTCAATTCATTCAACTTGCAAATCTGACCTCACTGCTTCACAATTTACATTGAAAGACATGGTGAAAATATCCAATTCTGTTTGAATGGCACTGAAATCTTGAAATCTGCGTTCGAACTCAAAATACTGTTTTTTCATGCTATCTTCATAATTCTTAAGCATCTCTTCATTTACTGAGGGTATTGAATTTAACCTCGGAAAATGAGACAAGTCGTTCTTAGCTAGCTGCCCAGCAAACATATTAAGTTTTAGTTTAAAAGTCGATTTATGTTTTGGAGAACATAATAATAGAGAAAGTAAAAAGATCCTCAGAGCTTTTGAAAAAAGGAAGAAAAAAATAACATTTAATCAAAGTAGAAAAGAAGATAGATATATAATATAAAAATATATATTTCTTTTAATTTGCCTGGGACCAGAATATTAAAATTCTATCCGCGGGCCGGATAGAATCTCCCGGAGGGACCGGTGTTGGCCAGCGGGCCGTAGTTTGCCCATCCCTGGTTTAGTTAGTCCCTCGTGATTTCTCACTAAAAGTGAAATTGCATGTTGCCCTTAACCATGGATGTCACCTGCGACGGGGATCCTTTGGACCTGGTGTAGGCCTTCTTGCACCAGGGGTACTAGTAACAGCAATATATGTTGCAGGGCTGTCTATGTAATTGTAATAAATATGGCAGCTAAACATAGCGCAATTATTATTTCAAGAAAATTTTATTTTCTATCAATGAACAATGCTGAATCAAGACCACATGCATTCTGACCATAACTTGTACTAATATGCATATTTTTTTTGGAACTTAGACGTACTAATATTTTGTTCTGAATTTTTTTTTTTTATTAAATCCTCACAATTTTTTTCAACAAAATATATTTAGTTAAACATAAATGACAAAATCGCTAAAAATGGTTAACGAAATTTCCAACAAAAAATTAATTTCAAAATATTCATAATATTATTTCAAAATATTTATATTATTTTGGAAACGCGATGTATTAATTGTATTAACTTCGTTAATTGAAGTAAATTTAACACTTTGTTTTTGAACCATCAATAATTATTATATCGGAGAATTTTTAATAATAAGAAGTATTTTTAAGAAGTAAAATGAAAAAAGATTTAAATTATAAATTTT